TACTGGAGCCCCAGACCCGACTCATTTCATGATTCTTCCCTGATTTTCATTGGTAGGAAAAGTTGCGCGCGGCAGGTGGTCTTCCACCAACGCAACCTTTAAAATCTTCTTACCTTCCCCAAAGAGCTGCTTTAGTGCCGATTTGGCGTGAGGGGGTCCGGACAGATGGCTAGTCTTTTCACGTTTGGAAAGGATGAAAAATGCTACAGGGGAAAAAAAATCCCAGTGATTTTTTTTGCTGTACAGCGCAGAGGGCTCCGAACCTCATTGGCCCTGGGAGAGCCACCACGTGGCATGGGATGAAGAGCACGTGACCCATTTTCTCCCAAATCCCTCGGTTTGCTGGAAAGGGGGATGTACCCACCTCTGATGTTCTTGTCATTTCAGTGGGCTTTGATTTTTTAATTTTTTTATTTTTTTAAAGGCCACTGAGCAAATTAGGTTGCCTGGAGGCGATGAGGGTGAACCAGCCAATGCTTTCAACATGAAGGAGAAAGGAGCTCGGATACAAGATGAGCACCGGAGCACTGCCTGTGTGCACAGGGAAATTCGGAGATGCTTTACCAGGGTATTGGCAGAGCGGTGCCTGCCCACCCACTCCGGGGACAGAGCCTCTGGGAGGGCGTACAGCAACACATATTTGGCTGCTGGTGATGGGCTGTGCTAAACCATCCATCTCAGAGGCAGGCAGCAGTGGAGGGAAGGACCAGGCTGAAGCCCTAACTGCAGACCGCAGAGCTCAGCTGGCTCCCTGAGTCTCTGAGGAAGTGGATGTGTTACAACTGCTCCATCACTAGAAAAAGATTGTCTCATGCCCCTGTATTGCTCCTGACCACCCCTCACAGGCTGATCCTGTCCTCCGCTGCCCTCCTGGCTAATGCAACAGTGGTTGCACCAACCAACTGCTCCAAGAGACGACAAATCTCCTGCTTTGGAGGCAGAGGGTCCACTGAAACAGCTTTCTTGGAAAAAGTACCAAGTGCAGTGGAGGGAGCGTGGCATGCTCCAGGTAGGCATCACCTGCTCCCACTACTGCATGGCTACGCCAGGCTCAAAGGGCATTTCAAAGTGTCCCCCCAAAGACACTCACCAAACCTAAAATGCAGCACGATTCTGGGGATGTTCTGCCCCAGAAGGGTCCTTGAGGCCCCGTGGAGCAAGGCAAGACAAACCACAGATCCCAGTGTCTGACTTTGATGCTGGTGGTCCCTCCTTGCCCTAGCTCTATTTCCCAGGAGACAGCAGCTCTGAGCCACCACATCCCAGCCAGCCATGGTCCGCCGGGCAAGAAGCTCCTGGCCTTCCCTCAGTAACTGCAGGTACCAGCCCATCAGTGTCAGGATACTCAGTTTGGGGAAGGGAAAAGGAATTTTTGGAGCCCAAGACATCCTCTTGTTTTTCCTGTCAAAGGAAAGAAGCTGCATTTTACTGGCAACTTGAGTCTCCACCTGGAAAATTCCTCAGCTGTGCCATCTTGTCGTGCCAGCGATATGCCTGTTCATCACCCCAACCAATGGAAAGCCCCAGGTGAATCTACCTCTGGCATCTGCCCTTGAATTTCAGTGATGTTACTTAAGCAGAGCAGCTGTCCCCAGCCGTCATATCATTCAAGGGCTCAAGCCCTTCTTATCTAAGGGTAACACCTAAGGCTCCTCAAAGAACCAGCTGAGCTCGGGCTTTGGTGACAAAGCACAGCTCTGGCCACCTCCATGCCTTCTTGGCATCACCACCATGTCCCAGTGCGGCACTTGGCCTGGCTGCTGGGTTCTCTGTCATGGCTGTTCCCCCTCACACAGCTCTGCATGGGGATGGGAGGTAGCAAGAGCACGGTCCCTATTTCCACATCCTTCCTGAGGCCAGACTGTCTCACCATACTGTTGTCAAAGACAGAAGTACAGCCATAAAATGCCACAGACAGCGTAGAGAAGTGCAGGGTTTCACCTGAAATCCTCTCTGGCTTGGAAAGTCACACTTCTCCAGCCACCAGCCAGACGATCGGGCATTTTATTCCAACAAATACAAGCAGAGGGAGAAACTTTCCATACTCAAATGCAAACTACAGACACAGCCAACAGCACTCAGCTCACTGCTTTCCCCTCCTGCATTTTGCGATGGCCAACGTGCAAAGGGAGAGAAGAAACCCCCCACCTTTCAGCCCCGCAGCTCCCCGTTCCCAGTCCCTTCATCCTTCCCCAGCACTGCCCAGCTAAATCTGTCTCCCGAGTAATCTTCTGAATAATTATATAATAGAGAGGCAGGCGGAGATATAATTTTAGGCCACTCTGTCGATAGAAAGCAAGCTGGATTAAAAGATCAGAACAAGCAATACTTAGATTAAAATGGTTTGTTATTTTCAGCTGCAGAAAATCTGTGGCTAAAGCACGGAAGATGTTGAGGAAAGGCGCATCATCTTTCCCCCAAAAAAGAGCTTTCTACATTTTAGCCAAGGCAAGTTCTAGGTTTCCAACCTACGCTCAGGTTTTGTTTCCGAACAGGTCAAAGAAATACAGTTTGCCAGTTCACATGGCATTTTATCTAAAGACTTAAGAGCAGCACGAAGGTGCTTCAAGTTACACTTTGCTCTGCAAGCTCAGTCCAAATCAAACACCATCAACACATTGCTGCTTGTTAAGACATCAGACCCCTTGAGTCAGGAGAATTGGCATGTAGCTCAGCAGACAACTTCATTAGCTATGAGAAATGTGCCTCCTGGCACACAGCATAGGTTTTATTGGTACCAATGCCTTTGCCTTTAGCATGTGCCTCCCCACAACCCCGAGCTGATGACAGGCAGATGCCAGGCTTACCAGTGGTGGAGAGGTGGCCGTGGCTGGGAGAAGCCCGTCAGACAGAAGGGCAGCTCTCTGCAGGCGCCTATATGGCATCCCCCTGGCCCCCAGCAAGGTCAGCGGCGCAGGGTGCCATGCCAGGCCCCACTCTGACTGATCGCTTTGGAAAGGCGTGAAGGGGAAGTAGGAAAAAAATGGTGAGAAAGGGACCCGACACTGGGGGCCGAGCTCTCCGCAGGGCATGGCACTCATCAGCTACATCCCAGATCGATGCCGCTAGCATTGCTCTTTCACCTTCAAGTTCAGATTAAGCAGAAGGGTCAAACTGGAAAATTGTTTGCTGCTGGCGGGCATGTCCCCCTCACCACCCTGCAGCCTCATGTTGCTCCATGGCCAGCTTTTCCCCTTGCCGGCATGGACGCTTCCCACCCAAGCACCTTGCTTGCCCCACAGCATCTCCAGCCCCCAGCATCAGCAGTGACCACTTGTCGCATTTCCTGGATGTGAGATAGAGCAGCAGCAGTTTCCCAGTGCCAAGTGGTCTCCAAAAACAGAGTCCTCTTCCAGGTGTCCCTGGCACCTGTAGTTTTGGTAGTCATGGTACCATACACACAGGATCAGCTCTGAGTTCAAAGGATGAAATCCCATGGGGCAAGAGGTCCAAGACACAGCCTTGAAGGGGGCTTAGCATTTAAAAGGAAAACCACACCTTGCTTTGCATTTTGAGCCAGAAGCCGATGGCTTGCACAGAGCTGGGCACCAGGCTCCTCTCCTGCCTGTGGATGTGGGAGAGGGGCCAGGGCACAGGCCTGGGAGAAGGCGTGGGATGTTGGACAGGGAGCGTGGGAAGGCAGCAAAATGAAGTCAGAGACCTTCCTGGAGGGAGGTGGGAGCTGTGGGATGTCATGATGTTCATCCAAATGATGCTTTAATAACTACTTATTGCAGAAAAGTGTCTTCACTGAAGCCAGAGAATAAAACGCACTTGCTGGATGGATTGGGGTTATGAGCACTTGTGGGAGGACAGTTTGGGGACTTGGTCCCAGGCTGGACACTCAGTCCATCCAGCAAGGCCATGTCCCGGTTTTCCTTGGCTATGGGGAGCCCTTCCTCAAGACCGGCTGTGCTCAGGGGGATGCCAGCAAGCAGGGAAGAGGCAGAGCCCTCCCAGCTCCTTCAGCTCATGGCTTCCAAGCTACCAGCAGGAAAGCCAAAGCTGCCGTCCAGCCCCCAAAAACACTCTCCAGATGGATGTGTTTGTAAGAGGTTGCCCATGGCACACAGCAGCTGCAGACAGTGACAGCAGAGACCTCAGAAGATGCATGCTCAAGACCAGGCACAACCAGTACCCATCACATTGCCAGTGTCCTTGGACAAGCCTCCTCACAGGTTTTTGGGCAAGTTCTATTCTTGTTGCCCCTTACTGGGTCACCTGCAGCTCCTCTGAGAAACCCTCCATTCCCTTATCCAAAACGCACCATCTTGTCACAGGTATAGGGTGTTGTTCTGGCTGGTCTCTCCCAGGATTTTAGATGCAGAAAACAAAGATTACCAACACTTTTGAAAGGAAAAGGAGAGAACAGAGGTGGGTTTGTCTGCTGCTACAACATTTCTGCTTTATGGAGCTCTCTTCTCACTCGGAGATGCATGTCTCCTCTTCACTAATGGAAAATGTTGCCCTTGCTGTCCGTTTGCAATAGTCAATGCCTGGGACAACATGATGGCCCCAGGCCAAAGCAGATCTATTTTAGTAACAAAAGCAGTGTGGCTGATGAAAATGACCCTGTCTATGCACCTCCCAGCTTAGCTCTTTAGCTGGTTCTAATGGACCCCTGTGACCAACGTGGTGGAAAGCGGGCATCCGAGTGCAAGGAGAGCAGAGGCGGCAGGATGGGAGACCTGCACAGATGCAGGACCATGCCAGCCCCTTTGCAGAGAGAGGCCCCAGCAGCAAAACGCACCTCTCATAGAAGCCCTGCTAGCAGGATTGCACTGTGCAGGGAGCAAACCCCTCTTCCCTCTTCTCTCTTTTGCCTATGCCACAGCATTGCCCCTCACACACAGCTGGATCCCTGTGATGCAGCAGTACCTCTGTCTGCAGAGCCCAATCACATCTTCCCTGCAGGCATTTTATAGCCTAAGGGAGATGGCAGTGTGGTTGCAAAGACCACCCCCAGGATTTGGAAAGGGACTGAGTTAACCTTACCTTACCCTGCAGGGTGGCCTTGAGCTCCAGAGTGGTTCCTCGGAGGGTCCGGTTGCACCAGAAAAGGGCATGCTGAGCACAGGACGGAAACCAGGGGTCCGCAGCACAAGCCTGCAGACCAGGACATGGCAGAGGTTAGGCACAGCATGGAGGATGGACACCTGACAGCTGCTTACCATCCAGGAAAAGTGAATTTCAGAGACAAATAAAACATGGTTTGGGTTGGGGGGACAAAACTACCAGGAGCACCACCCCCAGGTTGTTTATGGGGCAGGCAGCAAAGCCCTGTCTATACTT